TAATGAATAATGAATAATGAATAATGAAAAATGAATAATGAGTAATGAGTAATGAGTAATGAGTAATGAGTAATGAGTAATGAATAATAAATAATGAATAATGAAAAATGAATAATGAAAAATAAGTAATGAGTAATGAATAATGAATAATAAATAATGAATAATGAATAATGAATAATGAATAATGAAAAATGAATAATGAGTAATGAGTAATGAATAATGAATAATGAATAATGAATAATGAATAATGAAAAATAAATAATGAATAATGAATAATGTTAAAAGTGAGTTATGAACATTGATCATTAGTTATTAAGTATAGACTGTCAATAATCGGTAGAGACTAATCACTAATGAGCAATGAGCAATGAATAATGAATTTTCAGTACCTATAATAAGTTACCAAATATAGACTTAAGTTACGGCTAATGACTAATGAGCAATAAATAATGAATAATTTGAATAGGATTTTAATATTGATCATTATCTATCTAATATATGTAGACTGTAAGTAATGGGCATTGACTAATGACTAATGACTACTTACTAAAGACAGTAATAAATTAAATTAAATCAAATTATATTTGTTTATCAAATAATAAATAATGACTGCAGGCTCATGATTAACGATCAATGAGCAATGAGTAACGAGCTGAGCACTGAATAAGGGCTAATAATTAACGAGCACAGAGCTACTAAAAGTAATACAGCAATAACAAGAGACTATTGGCTCTACTTAAGTATTAGCTACTGAGCAATTATCAAGGAGCCATGAGCACAAAGCAATGAGCGGGTAATGAGCATTGGGTATTGATTTTGGACAAATGACTAAGGGTGCATGGGCAATGAGTAAAGGGTAATTACGCGTTATTTATGATGAATAATGAATAGCAGCAATAAGTTATGCGTAGTATTGAATTCCACGCCAATAATATTTCGATTTGATTGCGCGCTTATAATGATTAGCAAGTAGTTAGAGAGACGAGTATCAAGTGACAAATATCGAGTATCGAGTATCGAGCGGCGAGCATCGAGTACATGTGCGTTAAGCTGTAAAGTTTCGCTGGATTCATACGCCGGCACGTAACGATGCGACACATCTGATATTATGAATAAGTCAAGGCAAGGTTTCGCTCACACACATACATACATACATACATACATATACATATACATATACATATATGCTGTTGTTGTTGTTGTGATTCTTCTTCATTTATTATTGTTATTCTTATTATTATCGTCATTATTATGATGGCATGGCTGTTTTGTTTTGGCACGTGAGCCAAGAGACAAAACAAACAAAAGTCAGCGGCCGCATTCCGAGTGACTTTAATTGCAAGCTGCAAAAACAGCTTTGAGACAAACTTCAGAGATGGAGTGAGAGGGGGGCAGCAAGGCAGAGAGAGGGGATTGAGATTTGAGAACTGAGAACAGGACAACCCCACACACATCGATCGTGAGGTACCAGCACCCAACCTTGAGCGATTTTTTAGATTTACGCATATCTGGTTTCTCTTTCTCTTTCTGTTTCTGTTTCTGTTTCATTCGCATTTCGAGTTCTGGCATACTCTAACAAGAGAGCACTTTAGCTATATGGAATATTGAATATGTATAACGTGTATACATTATATCTTTCAAATCGTTTTACTATATAGGATATAGGAAATATAAATACAACTCATAATCTATAATAAAATAACTTTTATAATATAAATTTTAGTATGCTCTTCACCTGCTCATAGAGCATTCACACTGCGACCTCACATCATTAGCTCATCCATCTCGTTTCTTCTTTGCATTTACATATATTGTAAATATATATATAAACATGTCGCATTGAGCTGTACGAAATAACAAACGAGTTTTGTAAAAAAAACAAAGTAAAGTAAATGCAAAAACGAATGAAATGAAACAGAAACAGAAACAGAAGACTCCATGAAAAGGTTGGAAGAGAAAGGTCTAACTCAGGCACGATCGTGCATTAGCTAGGAAACGAATCGAAATACTATATGTACATATATGAATATGCAATATGGCCAAAATCAACATATATCTGAATCGAACTGGTTGCCAACAGCCAAACAAAGGCAAAAAGAACGAGTTCTGCGACGTACTATAATTAATTGCTGGCATTACGGAGTTACGGAATCTCGGTTTAACCCCCACTTACAACAACAGCAATGAAACCAGATGTGATTAAAAAGTTTATGACACCAAAACAACAGCAAAAAGAACAAAATGAAATTAATAATAAAATCTGAGTTTGAGCATTAGGGGCAAGTCGTTAATTATTGTAATTTCAAATTGTGGGAGAGAGAGAGGGAGAGAGAGAGGGAGAGCGACTGTCAAAGATTGATTGAGTTATAGAAATAGCCCACAATTAAAATGCAACAGACGCAGTAAATAACATCAATCGATTTTTTATGAGGCCCAGCGTCAGCAGAGAGATGAGCTAGAGATACAGAGACAGACAGAGGGGGGGACGGTGTGTGGTTTAGGGGGTGGTACGTAGCAGTGAATGCGCTGCAATTTTGTTTACATAAACAATTCTAATGGGCAATTCGAAATGGCAGCTGGAAGCTGGAAAATGTCTTAAATTAACAGTTTAGCCCCACCACTAGAACATTTCGATCTGGCATCTGGGGTGAGAGGGGTGAGGAGGCGGGTCTGGTTAACTGGAAATACCCCATTAGCCAGCAGATGCCACGGCCCACAGTTTTCTAATTGTGGTTCGTGTTAAATAGACGACTTAATTTCCATGCATTTAGTCATCGCTCAGCCAGAGCTGTGCGTGTCACTATCCCGCTTTATTTATTTATACAACACACTAATCACGGCTCGTAACGCCCCCCCCCCCCCCCCCCCCCCCCCCCCCCACCCACCCCCCTTCCGTCTCTGATAATGTCCTCTAATTACAGTTGGGTTTTGTCAATGGAGCGAATTATTTCACGCATTCCATTAGACGATTTTTTGTTTGTTTCCTTTGTATTCGGTTTTTGTTTCCCTTTGCATTCTAGTGACGCGACGAAGATAATTTTTAGCAAAGCGATAAGGCGTGACGAATGCGTCGCCAAGTGAGAACAATGGATACCCTGTAAGAGCATTGAGGTAATCGATAATCGGATATGTGATATGTGAATCATGGCGCTATTTGTTCTCTATTCGTATATATCTATATCTATATTACAGCTGGACATGTTCAGGTTAAGGTCGATCGTGTTATCAATTTCCATTCATAGCGCTTAGTATGCACTTTGTGCAGCTTGCTGAAGATATAATATATATGTGTAATTATTTACTTCAAGACTAATTGCAAACTAAGCGTAAGTGAATCGGAAAATATGTGAATATTCACATATCTATGTACAGATATTCATATGTAGTATGTGTAAGTAGCAATTGATTAGCTAGTTTAACGGAAATTTACAATGTATTCAGCTAAATATGTATATTATTGTTTTTTTTTTTTTTTATATATGCAAATAATTTTTTCAAAGTTATGCATTTGATTTCTAAGAAACAATATAAATTTTTCATTTTTCAAATGAATTAATATAAATAAAAAAAAAATCTTAATAACTTTTCAGTCCACCCCATTCATAATTATTATAGGGTATCAGACGTCGCTTACCTGTGCCCAGAATATTGTCAAAATGCCAAACACAAGCAGCATTGGTTGCGCTTGCTGTTGTTGTTGTTGTTGGGTCTGGTGTTGCTGCTGCTGCTTCTTCATTGCAGTGAGTACAGTGGTAACCCGAAATCGTTGACAATTGCGGCGCTTTTTGATTCTTGTTGATTTCGTTTGCTTCTAATTCGTTGTTATAACATTATTATTTGTCTGGCTGTGTGTGTGTGTGTGTGTGCATCTGTGTATGTGTGTGTATAAATATTACTCTCCCGTTTGGTCGTCAATTAATATTGCACTTTTTTACAGCGACAACGACGTCGACGTCCGCATAGGCGTCGGCAGCGTTTGTTTTTATTGCTTTCTGCAGAAAAGAAAAATAAAAGATGCACCGCAGCGCGCTTGTTACAAAATTGTTGTTGTTGCTGCTGCTAATGCTGCGACTGAGGCTGCTGCAGTCGTCATTCGCTTTGATTACAATTTTCGCTGCCGCTGCCGCTGCCGCTGCCGCTGCCGCAGCCGCAGCCGCTGCCTGAGAGAATGACGCGACAGCCGTAATTCATGGAATGCGCCCATGCGAAATGCTGTTTATGGGCAAACAAAATTATAACGGCACTGTCACACTGACTACTGCGGCTGCTGCTGCTGATGGGCTCTCACAAGAAACAAGAGAGAGCAGGGCGGGCGAGAGAGCGAGAGATAGGAAGAAGCAGCGCCAGCCGCAGCAGCAACAAGCGAAAGCGTCGCAACGTCACGGCTGCAGGTAGAAAGCAAACGAATGAAACGGAAAACTGAAGAAGTGACTGAGACGCTGGCTGCACCGAGTGACCGAGTGTGTGTGTGCGTGTGTGTGGTGCAAGAGAGCCACGCACAAGTGCGTTTATTTGTGTGCGTGCGCACATGCGTACAAATGCTTGAGTGCGAGCGAGCAGGCAGGCGCGCGTGCGTATGCGTATGCGTGCGTGTCCGTGTAATAACGGCGCTTTACAACCGACGCAGTTGCTGCGACTGCGACAGAGCTGTTGTTGTTGTTGTCTTTAGTGTAGCTGCTGCATTACGAAATAACTACTCGTCCGCCATGACAATTACCCAGCGATTGTTGTTGTTTTTGCTGCTGCTGACGCTGCTGCTTTAGCTGTTCTTCAATTATTGCACCCCCATTTGGTTGTAATTGTATTAATGCTAATTGCACGCATTTATTTCAACAGAAAACAACAGCGGTCCCACACTCACACACACGCGCGCGCAGTCGCCACCCAATTACAAGCACACACACATAGAAACCCAGTGCGGCGGCGCAACAGCGAACGCGACGTCAGCTGCGCATGAAAAAAATTCACTTGTAATTGTAGTTGCTGTTGCTTCTTCTTATGCTTTTGCTGCGTTTGCTGCATTAATTAAACTAGTCACGTTTCGTTGTTTTTTTGTCGGTATAAAATGATGTTTATTTTTATTTTTTTTGGTGAAATTTTAATGGCCGTCGCACTGCTCTTTTATATGTATATAAATATATACATAGTATATGTATTTCCTTTTTTATTTTAACTTCGCAAACCTATGCTAAATTCCAGCACAATCACAAGTGCCATTAGTTCAGTTATTAACTAAACAAATAGAAGTAGCACGCATTAATTCAGGCAGCAGCGGCGGCCGCAGCAACATTAGCGGCGGCGGCGTTCACATTTGTAAACAGACACACGACAAAAACAACACCAAGAAAACCGTACACAAACTACGAGAGCGCCTCCGCTCCGCTCTTAATCAAACTCTCTTTACACACTCGCTCACTTTGCTTTAATTGATGACATTAACGAATTACTTTTCAAATTTGCATTGAGCCAAAAAAACAAAAAAAAAAAAAGAACAATACACAACGGAAGTTTTAAAACATTTTTTAAAAGAAAAATAAGACAAAACAAAAAATACGTTCGTAAAGCGCGTACAGCGCGAGCGACAGCAATAACCGTACCGAACGAAGAAGTGTATAAAAATGAACAAAAACAAGTGGATAAAACAACAAAAGCAGAGTGCAGACCAAAATTTGATGTGCGTATATCGATATATCGATAGACTGGTCAACGTTAGTATTTTAGTATTTATCGGGTGCTGCGCCACAACGATGAGGAAGAAAGCGACATCTATGGCTTGGAGCTCTCAGAAAATTTACGCGCCAAGATTTGAGTTTCGATTTGAATGCATCCCGAATGACAATATAATTAAAAGCTCCAACATAAACCTAGCTTGCTAACAGTTAAAAAAATAAGATACAAATGAAGTCTGTATAAATTAAGAACCGGCTAAAATGTTGAGCTTAAGATATAAAAAAGAGCGATGCACTCAGCTAAATAATTGTAAGCTAAACAAATTTGGGTATGTATATTTCAAGAACAGAAGTGAATGTTAGTGCAGCATTTAAAGCCGTTTCTAACACCAAACAAAAGCGATAGGCAAAATGTGACCGGTGAACTGCAGGCAATCGATTGTATTTAACTATCGTTAGAAACTGACAATAAAATTAAATACCAGATTAATTATGTGACATGTTGGATACACAAATATCATATATAAATGCAATAAAAGTAAAGCAAGCATCAAATTACTTGCTGTATATATAATATGATTCGAGTTATGTGTTTTAATATAGGTTTGGTCAGTCAATCACGATGTAGCGTTTCTCTATTTTATTACTCGTTTTGATTTACAGCTTATACTTTCAATTCGATTTACCATAATATTTATGATAAGCATTGGCATATAAAAATACAGTCTTCATTTCAAATGTAGCTGGCGCGCGCCTTGTGCTTCAAACGATTGCTGCTGGCATTTTTAGCGGTAAGCTGTTCATGCATATCGATAAAACTATGCAATGTTTGTACATTAATTAATTGGCGCCAAAGCTGAATTTCAAATGTACAATTCAAATTGATTCATTGTATATCAAGATATTTATTCTAGAAAAATTGTAAAAAACAAAAGAAATTATTATAAGTTATGCAAATTTATGTTGCATTAAACATGCTTAGAGCATTGTCAATAATTTGCATTCATTTTTGAAGGGCAATGTGAATAATAAATCTGATAGATTAGATATATTCCCTATGATGATATAATAATAAATTCGACAAACATTGATTATGTTGTTGGCAGTTGGCACTTTTACGTATATAAACATTTTTATTTCTAGCCTTTGTCACTCTCTTTCCCTATTTATATATATATTCTTTACTCCCTCTTTCTCTTTCTCTTCCTCTCTCTCTCACTCCCTTTCTCTCTTGTCTTATTATTCTTAACTTGTTAACTGGCATGTTAATTCCTTCCGTAATACGCGTGTTCATTATGTTAAACACTTAACATGGGACATGCGTGTATTAGCGGTGGGTGCACACACACATACAATCACACACACACACACGCCTACATAGCCTCGCTGACTCCCCCTAAACAATAGCTAGATGAATGTGTAACACACTAATTAGTCTTGTATGCGATTCATAATGATAACAGTCATTAAAATACACGTGTACCTCGCCTGGTGTGCGTGTGTGTGTGTGTGAGCCCAGTGTCGAGTGGCAGGCTTTGCCATCGGAGAAGCTGTAGCTGTATAGTAAGTCAGGAGGAGTTGGGGTTTCTGGTGTTATATGCTTGAGCCTTGTCTTTGAGCTCTTGCATGTGCTTTTGATTGCGCGACGGGTTCATGCCACACGGTGTTCACTGTACCGCATGCCAGCCGCCGATGTCTGCCTTTTGCTGCCTTTAGCGTTTGCTAATGCGACCGTGTAAGACGTGCGGCTCCACCCGCTCACATTTGTCTATATGGCAAATATTAGCACTCACTCACACACACACACACATGCACACACACACACACACATGCACACATTCATCGTTTGATTCTCGGAGGATGACATGTCATGTTTTCATTATGCTCATGTGTCTAAACAATTATCCTGCAGGCATAATTATGTCAGACATTTATAAGCCTTGACACTTTCGGTTTTCGGTCATGACACACACACACACACACACACACACACACTCACACGCACGACTACACACACACACACACACACACAGTTAAAGCTTTAAGCTGTGTTTTTTAAATATTTTAATTAATTTTTAAAAATCATTAGAGTTTTATTAATTATGTATGTATACCTATGGCAAATGATTGACTGATTGATTGACTGATTGATTGACTGATGGATAATCTTTACTAGCTTAGGTCCTCAGCATTAGGCAATTACAAAAGTGGACTACATTTGAAAAAGAATTGAACTTTTTCAATATTGATTGATAGTTGATTGATTGATTGACTGCCTGCAGCCGCCCAGCTAAAAATTTTGAATGCAATTATCATCATTCAATAAGAAGCTATCACTAATAGCTCTTCATCAAGTTGCAGTAGCTAAGCCCTATGATTGACTGATTGATTGATTGATTGATTGATTGATTGACTTAGAGAGTAATTGCATAGCTTTTACTACTGCTACTGTGTCCTTATCAATTGAAATCAATCATTTATCGCCTTATGGATTTCTCGATTGATTGATTGACATATTGATGATCAATCATGACTTGATAGCTTAACCATATTATTCGCAAGTTGATTGAATTGACTTCACTAGTTGATTGATTGACTGACTGGCTTGATTGACAGCTGCAGGCTACAGCAACTTATACAAAAATTTCTGCATAAATTATAAGCTCCGAGACTACAGTTAGTTCAGCTATAGCCGCTCAAAGGCCGCCTAAGCTTCGCTCTGTCCACGCCTTGAGTTGAAAAATTACGGGTCCTGGCCTGGGCAAAAACTTATTTTGGCGTAAAATTGAAAAATTCTTTTGGGGTCAAAAGAATTAAGCGCAAGCTGATTCTTTAAGTGTTTGCCCTAACATGACACCCAAAGCGGGTATAGCCCAAAGGTTAAGAGGTGCGTAACGCTGTGCGAAATATGCCGATATTAGTAACTAATTTGAATAATATGTGATTTGATAATATAATATTTATTTATATAGAGAATTCTTAGATTATTTCAATTCAGTTTTGTAGATGTATATAGTATAATACATAGTAATAGGATATATGGTAGTATATGCTAGTATATAGTAGTATAAAGAGTATATATAGTAGTTTTTGATGGTATATAGTACTATATATATTCGAACATGGTAGTATATGGTAGCATATGGTAGTATATAGTAGTATACGGTATACGGTATACGGTTCAAATATATATAGTAATGTATACTATCAAATACTACTATATATACTCTTTATACTACTAGTAGTATATGGTACTACTATAGTAGTATATGGTAGTAGTAGTAGTAGTATATGGTACTACTATGGTAGTATATGGTAGTAGTAGTAGTAGTATATGGTACTACTATAGTAGTATATGGTAGTATATGGTACTACTATAGTAGTATATGGTACTATTATAGTAGTATATGGTACTACTATAGTATTATATGGTACTACTATAGTAGTATATGGTATTATTATAGTATATCTAGTAGTATATCTAGTATTTTCAACTTAATGCAATTAATGCAGCCATTTACGTATACATATTATACACCACAGTTATCATAGCTATATCTACTCTACATACATACAATATATAAACTTCTGTTATGCAACTGTTATACTCATTTAGCTGCAACACTTAGAGCATTTGTGATTTCAGTGGACTTTTTGCTCTCGCTCTTTGCCACATTCGTCGTCTTTGTCGTCTTTGTCTTTTGCTTTTGGCTTTATGGCTCTGAATGCTGCTGCTGCTCGTTGTCCTGCGGCCCCCTTTGTGGCGGTGCTGTTGCTGCTGCTGCTGCTGCTGCTGCTTACCGTTATTTTATTATGCAAGAAACAAAAGTTTCCATTTGTTTGTAGCGCTTCCCGTTCAACGGCAACCATCAATCATTCGCCGTGTTGTGCGACGTCTTTGCAGGACGACAAAACTCAGTTAAGAAACGGCCAAAGAGCGAGAGAGAGAGAGAGAGAGGGGGAGAGAGGAGGTGTGTGTGTTGAAAAAATGTTTCATTTTCACACACTAAACAAATTGCAAGAGTCAGAATGAGATGGAGAAGCAGCAGCAGCAGGAGGAGGAGGAGGACGAAGAGCAGCAAGAGGGGAAGGGGAGATGCAGCGTGTATAAGAAAAGCATAGCGGAAGAAGGAGCAGAGGAACCAAGAGGACCAGGCACACCGAGCAGGAACAGCAGCTGAAGCAGGAGTCGTAGCAGGCGAAGTAGTTGTTGCTGCCAGTGGGCAGACCCTGTTTGGGATATGTCCTGGCTGCCACTTGCCACGTGCTGCCTGCCACGTGCTGCGTTTTGCTATGCTCGACGTCCTTCGTTCCTTTTTGCACCATCTCGCCTGCCCACATCAGCCGTCGCATTCCTTTAATCTGCCGCTTCCTTCGGCTCCTGTCGCTGGCAAATAGTTTTCCCTTAATATGTTTCAACTCTTTTCCTGACTTTTCGCTCACATTCCCCATTTAAACACTTTTCGCCTTTATATTTATTGTCTTTCGCTCGCATCGAGTTGATCGGAACTTGACTTGAATTTACAATTTTTAGACAAATATTTAGTTCATTCCGATTCGAAGTTCTACGTTCTCATGTTGATATTGATTTACATTAGCTAATCTGGTATGCGTTCCGTTATAGAGCATGTGATGCAGCTTATTCTGGTCGAGTGGCTGTCAAAGTGCCTGTCAAAGTGCTTGTCAACTTGCAGCTTCGTTTATATTGATAATTTTGCTACCAGTTTTTTAGGCAGTTCAAATTGCTTAACTGCTTGTCAAGGGGAGTGTCAAAGGGGAGTGTCACTCATGGAGTCAACTTTTAGCCTTAAGTTTCCTCTTATTTATCTGCCCAATCTCGAGTTACAAATACCTGCAATTAAAATTGACTTTACATATGGGAATATATATGTATGCATAGCTCAAGTAAGCTTTTGTTTTTTTCCTCTCGAAACTGAAAGCTGCTTAAAATCAACCAA